GGCAGCATAACGATCCACCTAAGCATTTTCGCATGATGCAGTGAATATTTAGCTGATAATAATAAACTGGTTAATTTTATTGTATTAAAAAAATAATTAATATATTATTTGATTTGATTTTTTTATTTGATTTAATTATTAAAATATAATAACACTTGGGTCTCATGACATGATAATTATATGTCATACCGTAAGATATACTCTCTAACTTTAAGATTGAAATTCAAATTTTTATCCTTAAATTTGTAATTAGTTCAAAAAAATTTATTAAAATATAATATATATATATATACATACAACCAATTTAATTAATTTTTATATCTTATATATATAATTATATTTTTAAGTATATTTATTTTAATTTTATATTAAAAATAAGAATTTTTTAATAAATACATTATAATACGTTAGACTAATAACTAAAGCAATTAATGTAAAAAATAAATGATGAAATGTTTGTTGTTGGTGATGCAGATGGAGGTGAAAGCATCACCGTCGTCCAAAAGACATGATATAAATTAATCTGAGACTTTTGACCTAATCAATTAGTTCTTGGCCGCCCTCGACTGATATGTGGCTCCTGGCACGTCCATTTGCACTGTTATGGTAGCCGACTGTTTCATCATCGAATAAATTATTGGAAATCCGGTAGGAGTTTGGGACACGTGGAAGAAATGAAAATGATGTTGTCTACCAACTTAGAAGGGGAGTCAGCACTATTCTATCACTAATCTTTTGATTTCAACAAAAACTTTATTAAAAAGATTTTATATAAAATTGAACGGTTAAAAATTTAAAATTTTAAGTTGAAAACTTCTTAAGTTGAATTCAAGACTTGAGTTAAGTGACAAAAAATTAGGAAATAAGGGGGATTATTCCCTTTTTAATTCTTAATTTGTATAAGTTATAATCAAATATTTAAAAAAAAATGAAAGATTTTATATAACAAAAGATTTAAAAAATGTAATCATAATTTATTTTAGGTATGAGACGTGTTAGTGTTGTACATAGGAAAACATGATGAGTTCCCCACACTTCGAGTTATAGCAAAAGCCATTGCTTTATGGTATATTAGGTTTTTTTTTAAAAAAAAAAACAGTAAAAGAAATGAGAAGAAT